CCAATCAACACCGGTTTAGAACAAGAACCATGCAAGGCAACAAATGAAAGGAACAAATGTAACAACAACGTTGCAAATGTTCAACCGTTCCAGCACCGTTCAATGCCTCTAATTTTAAGGTGGAACTTTTCAAAGTTCATCCTAAACCTGCCAAAAGGGGGATTGCAAACGAAAAAGGCGAACAAGGGCATTGCATAAAGTCGCACAAAGCCTTTAGTCTAAAAATCCTCTCTAATTTAAGGAACGCACTTGGAAAAGATCTTTCAACAAATCCTGAGGAATGAACAACCCTGCAATCTCCCAAGTCCTGAACCCGAAGAACAAAACACTGTGCTTTTGTTTGGCGGACTTACCCATCATTTTTGGTTTGGAAAATTGCGGCACCATCAACCTTGCGAACCGCAGCTCAACCAACTGTTTGCATTTCTTTCGCTTTCAAGCACGCGCGACTCTTGTCGGTCCTTGTTCAATTGCCTCACCCAAACGGTTCTGGTGTCGATTCTGGCAGAAACAAACACAGCAAGCAAAGCAAGCAACTGAATTCAACCAGGACAACTCTTGAAAACTGTAAGACCTGAAAACCGCTTTACCAACTCTGTCAACGCTGTCACCTCCGAAAGACTGCTCTTCTCGATCTCCTCTCGCAACTTTGCTGTCTCGTTGAACTTGGCCAGGGCTGTTTCTGCTGATAGGTACGGATTGTTGATCAAGATACCTCCTTCATCCAAGAAGTTTCTGGCTGCATCGCTGTTTGTGAAATCTTCAGCATCTGCCCCGTCATAGACCAAACACTTTGCGGCACTGAGGTTGCTAGTTTGGATATTGCTCACAAAATCTGCATTAATCTGAGCGATGCCGCGTTGTCCTTAAATTGTTTCTTCAATGTCTGTGTTATCAAGCCAATTTCAGCTATCAGGAAAGGTGGTTTTTCCAGTCTGGCGAAGGTGCCATTGTGCATGAACTCGTGTAGTCCTTAGCAAACGCTTTCCTCTCGCTTCATATCCATTTCCACCCAAGAAGTCCACCTGACCCCTCTTGACAGGCCTCTCCAAGCGCCGGCCGGTACCTTGAGCCCTGTCGCACGACGAGCGCCCTTGCTTCTAGTAGCGATGCCAGGACTAGTAGCTTCTTGTTCCTGGTAGTATGGCCAGGAGCCCCTAGTAGCGTCCCAACCTAGTCCCAGGAAAAGGATGGACCAGGAGCAAGGACGCTACTAGGAGCTCCTGGCATCGCTACTAGGAACAAGGACGCTACTAGGGGCCTTTATCCACCGCCGTCTTACCCCTTTCCCCAGACTCACGGGCAAATGTTCACTGTGATTATTGTGTCTCCTTTGCATTGAGTCCTGCTGCCTGCCTGCTACTTCAAGCTCAAAACAAAACTAACCTCCCACCCTCACCCTCCATTCTGTTTGATTGAACGTTTTCCCCTAGGCCATCGGTTCATCATCAGCTGACTCACACATCGCCACAACCTGGACAGACTAGACTTGGACAGACTGTGACAGAGGAAAGTAAGTCATGCGAATCTTTTTGACGCCCAACAGTCTGCAAGCCAAACCGATTTGGGCCTGTTGGCAGCGGCAAAATTGAATCGGAATTGGGTTTCTCATGAGTATGGGCCCCTTTTGGGGTACAAGTTGACACCCTCCGTGTCAAACCTTAGGGTTTCGAAACCGGGCCTGGTTCACGTGCCTGAAAATCCCAATCCGTTGGAACTTGAGCATGCCACATGCAACATTTGAGCGGGCAACCTCAATTCCCAAAGTGCAGTTCCATGTCTTCGACACAGGAACTCAAATCGCCAAACCTGCGCCTCTGAAGACAAACCGTTGAAATCTAAAGCAAACAGTTTGCGACAAAATCTCCAAGCAGCTTAAAAAGGCACCAATCCGGCGCGTCTCAAGCAGTGGAGAGGGAAAATCAGGTTGGCAATACGGCTTCCTACGCGATCTCCTTGGTCAGGGCTTTTGAACATCAAAACATTTTTGTCCCAATTCAATAATTTTGAGGTTGGCCCCCTCGCCACATCAAAAGATAGTCATGTCATGGTAAGGCGCTTCCTGCCAAGCCCTGACGACATTTGACACAACGTTGTTTCAAGTCATTCCAAGCTTCGTTACTATGTGCCACTCCGTCCGTGTCAGCCACCTTCTTGGAGCTCTTTGAAGTCTTCGAGGTCTGAGAAACATTGGAGGCCGCCAGGCGCAAGCGCAACCTGAGAGACCCACGCCAGCGCAACGCGAAACGCAACGGTAAACATGGCGCGGGTTGCTCAACGCAAACTCAAAATCAGCAGCGGCAAGAGTAGTAGTAGTAGTAGTAGTAGTAGTAGTAGTAGTAGTAGGTAGTAGCAGCAGTGGTGGTGGTAGTAATTGTAGCAGAGTGGTGGTAGTGGTGGTAGTAATATTGGTAGCGTTAGTGGAAGGCATAAGTTTTTTTCACTTCCCACAGAGAGCGAGCAAATGACGAATATTGACTTTGGTTTCGCAGTCACTTGCAGCCACTGGCAGCCACTTGCTCAGGCAGCCACTTGTCACTCAAGCAAACTTCAACACGTGCACTTGGAGTTCTTTATGTAAAAACTGCAAGATTTCTTCGTCGCTAGCTCTGCAGAGGTTTGGACTTTATTCTTTAACAAGTCTTGGATTATTTCATGATTTCTCCGCGCGCAGCTCTGGAGAAAACCAGAATTTATTCGCAGAACAGCATTGCAGAAATCGTCGTTGTCTCCAGAGCTGCGTGCGGAGAAATCATGATATTCTCCGGACAGAAGTAGCAGTCACTTGCAGCCACTTGGCGGCCACTTGCTTGGAATGGAAACTCAAAATGCGCACCTCCTGCGAGCTCAACGACTTCCTATCTACCTACAATATTCTACAATCATGTCTCGTGCCCGCCCTGCTCCTTCAAAAGGTCCCCCGCCTTGGTGAAAGTGTAACTCAGCCAAGGAACACCATGACGCCCCAAGCAAGCAAGCGGACGCCCACCAAATAGACTCCAATCACAATCCTATGGCGCTACATTTGTCTCATGTAAACGTGTTGTGACCCAGCGTGTGCAACCATGAGCCACAGGTTTGTGATTTTTTGATTCTGGATGAGGGTCGGAGGGCTTTGCCACGTCTGAGTGTTACTTCAAAGTGAGACACTTGCAAGATCCTGGCAAACACATGCTTCACCAACAAAGCTTTCTAAAACGCGCTTGCATAGGAGTCTGGAAGCCAAGTTGCACCCAGTTGTAAACGTGATCCACGTCTGCCAAACCTCCAGACACATGATGCTGAAATGACAAAAAGAATCAAACAGGGGTGAAAGCGCTGAGGCACTAAAGCAAATTCTTGTGTAAGCCTCATGGGCGGCAGCTTAGCGCATGTTTTCCTTGCAGACTCCCGACACCAGTGGCACCCGCCCCGCGCACTAAACTTTGCCGCGGCACCGCGGAGCCGCAAAACATCTTGGCCAGTTTTGAAAGGGCAGGGTCCCGACTGCGGGCCTCAGTTCACTTTACACAATGGCGTGTGTCAACGCAAATCGAACAAACTTTCGAGTTGGGCAATGGTAAAATACGACAAGAACCGTAAATACCTGTTAATGAGCATGCGCAGCCGCAAGACACATGGACTTCTTTCGGCCAGAGTTCACTCCGCGACATGCAGGGCGGATGCGTAGGGGGAACGGTGTAGTTTTGGGATGGGTGACCATCGCTAGTAGGTTGGACGCAATCGCAATTGGGTTGGAGGCAATCGCTAGTAGGTGGAGGCCATTGCTATTGGGTTGGAGGCAATCGCTAGTAGGTGAAGGCCATTGCTATTGGGTTGGAGGCAATCGCAATTGGGTTGGAGGCAATCGCTAGTAGGTGGAGGCCATTGCTATTGGGTTGGAGGCAATCGCAATTGGGTTGGAGGCAATCGCTAGTAGGTGGAGGCCATTGCTATTGGGTTGGAGGCAATCGCTAGTAGGTGGAGGCCATTGCTATTGGGATGGAGGCAATCGCTAGTAGGTGGAGGCCATTGCTATTGGGTTGGAGGCAATCGCTAGGAGGTGGAGGCCATTGCTATTGGGTTGGAGGCAACCGCTAGTAGGTGGAGGCCATTGCTATTGGGTTGGAGGCAATCGCTAGTAGGTGGAGGCCATCGCTATTAGTTGGAGGCCATCGCTATTAGGTTGGAGGCCATCGGCCATCGCTGCTGGGTCGGACGCGATCGCTATTGAATTTTGGCCATGGCTTCTAGAGTGGAGGCCACCGCTATCAGGTTGGAGGCAATTGTTATCAGGTTGGAGGCCATGGTTATTAGGTTGGAAGCCTTCGCCGTTAGGTTGGGGGGGCCATTGCTTCTAGGGTGGAGGGCATCGCTATTAGGTTGGATTCCAACCCTATTAGGTTGGAGGCCATCGCTGTTAGAATGGAGGCCATTGGTATTAGGTTGGTGGCCATCGCTAGTAGGTGGAGGCCATTGCTACTAGGTTGGAGGCCATTGCTATTAGACGGAAGAATAAGGGACAATAAGGCAAGGATCCTATAACAATACATCAACAACTCCTAGGAGCAAAAAGCTACTAGTAACAGGTGCATCACTGCATCACCACACCTCACTGCACTATGCGTCACCACATCGTCCTTCAGAAACTTGAAAACTAGCAGGACCAGGTGAGGAAGGGAGAAACCAAAGGGGCAGCCCCCTCTAGCTGTATTCAGGTGCTTGGCAATTCCGCAGGCAGAGCAACCCCAACTGAACCTCAAGACTTTGAAGCACTCCACTGAAAACATGTTTTATAAACAAAGGAATGCAAAAAGGAAACACATAGTTTACCCAAAAATCTAGGAACCAAATCGTTAGTGCAAGCGCTTGCTCAAGGAAGCGTGAGCTATCCTGCGTCCAGTTGCTAGAAGCGTCCTAGCTCCCTTAATTAAACACAGCAAGACCACGGGCAAAAAGAAAAAAACACATCCGTTCGCCCAAGGCACATTCAAGTTCACGACTGTTCCAAATAGTCACCATCATCCTCACATCGTCACCGCGTCGAAGCGCTCGTAGCAAACTGCGTAGCGTCCGATCGCCCCTAGTAGCGTCCTTGCTCCTAGTAGCGGTGCCCTTTGCTCCTATTCGCTTTTTATTACTACTAGTAAGGCACTTGTTACTAGAAGCGATGCACTTGTTACTAATGGCTTCTTGTTTCTAATAGCTTCTTGTTACTACTAGTAAAGCGATGCACTTGTTCCTAGTAGCTTCTTGTTAAGATTCAATTGAGCTCAGTGTGGAGCGGGAAGTGGCAAACGCAGGGACTAGTTCCTTCACCATCTTGTTGCAGAAACATGTTGCACTCCTTTTGGTTAGATAGTTCTTGTCTCCTAATGGTTATCCACCAAGGCTCTCTGAAAATACAGGCTTGAAGGGGCCGACATACTCGATCCACCTGAAGTAGATGGGGATTTCCTCTGTGGTGATCAGGAATCCTGCGGAAACACACAAGCAGGCTGTCCTCTTGCCACGATGGCCTCCAACCTACTAGCCATGGCCTCCAACCTAGTAGCGATGGCCTCTCAACACTGCCAAGTGTCCATTGAAGATCATGAAGGGGAAGACGGTCAACAGGAAAACGGCGAAAGCGTATTCTGCACGCCCCCCAGCGGCTGAAGCCAGGTAGCCCCAAGCGTTTCCCATCACCGCGGTCAAGCAAACCAGCAACACAAAGGTCAAATACCTGTAGCAAGGACAGTATTAGGTGGGACCATCGCAAGTAGGTTGGAGGCCATCGCTACTAGTAACAAGAAGCTACTATGTCACAGAAAACAACAAAAAAGAATGCACGGGTTTTCTACGTGTAAAAAAAAGGTAGACACTCTTTTCGACACCTTTTTCCAAATCTCTTTCTTTCCTGTGCCCCTTCTCCTTTCTTATTAGGTTGCAGGCCATTGCTATTAGGGTAAGTTCCCCTCAAAATCTACAAACCAAATCATTCGTGCGAGCGCTTCTTCAAGGAAGCTCCCCCCCGCCGTCCAGCATGTAGTAGCTCACTTGTAGCTACTAGCTACCTCTCCCTTATCTAATTAGGTAGGCGCTTACTTAATTAAGTAACGGAGGAGGGGAGCGGGCCAAAAACAAAGGATTTCCCCCTGCTCTTCCAAAGCCATCAAACTGCTGAATTTTACCTCTTCAAGCTGCGAGGCGACGCTGTTCCCCAAGCCGGTCATGACAAAGATTACTGAAGACCCGCAGAAGGCACCAATGATGTCGATCGGAAGGTCACTGATCGTCTTTGACCAAAACCACGCAGAGATCGAATACATACCTTGAGGCGACTCCAGGTACAAGCAATGGCCTTCAACCTACAAGCGGTGGCCTCCATCTAATAGCGATGGCCTCTTTGGCGACTCACTACTGTGCTATGTAGACTTTTAAGTGTTCCACACCACGCTGTACTTCTCACAGCGGGGCTTGCCACTTTTGAATTCATAGCTATCCTTTGTTAGAGGAGGACATGGGCATCACTGGAACTTCTCAAGCAACGAAGACGGGCTTCTAGGCAGAATACTTTCCTTGCTAAAAGGCAATCAAATTCTGCAAGGAATTGGTATCAAACCTAAGGTTAAGCTAGTAACCAAATGAATATAATGTGAGCTTCCTTGAAGAAGTGTGAGCTCAGTCCAAGGTAGCAGCGTCCCGTACCTAGAAGCTTACTTGTTACTAGGTACCTCTAGCGGCCTCTTTTCCGGGCATCGCTACTGGGAGCAAGGACGCTACTGGGGGGCTCCCGGCCTTACTTACTAGGAGCAAAAATCTACTATTTTTCTTAAACACCCGCTTTTCAACAAGAGGACACTACTAGGGGCGCTGGCAAAACACAGCTTGCTACTTTGGTCCGGGAGGCCAGCGCGAGCCTCTCGGAAGGCTGGGCGGAAGGCATGAGGAAGCTCTTGGGTGAGGCCAAAGCCCGCCGTCATGAAGGTGTTGATCATGACCATGTTCAAAGCACCCATGACACTTTGCCAACTGGTTTGATCATTTGGAAGTTGCCAATAAAGCAATCCCAACAAGAGTGCCATGAAGAAGGTCCGTGCAATCATGGCCTTGAACAGAATTTTGCTCCTGGCATCGCTACTGGGAGCAAGAACGCTACTAGGGGCTCCGGCATCGCTACTAGGAACAAGGAGACTCTACTATTTTGCTCCTCCTTCGGATCAGGAACTCCCGGCGGATCAAAGTCAACACTGCCACTAGGCCTGAACCTCTCAATGATTGAAATGCATCGCCATCTGAAACGTTCTTCTCAGCCTTGTCAGCCGATTGAAATGCATCGCACTGAGGCAAAGCCTTCAAGAGTTTCTCCATGTTTGCTTTGGCTTCGATGCGCTCGGCATCCTCTCCGGCGTCAGTCGCGACGCACCTCATGAAGAAGTCGGGAGGGCTCTCGTCGTGAGGACAAAGCAATTCCAAAGATGCGAAGTGCTTCAGCCCACCCGTGGGGCTTCCAAAGTACACGGTGCGGCCTTCCACCAAGATGAGCACCTACTTGAGATTGCCGGAACGTGGGCGTCTTTTCTAAACCCTAACGGCCTCCAACCTAAGAGCGTCCTTGCTACTAGTAGTAATGCCCTAGCTTCCAGTACTCCAGTAGCATTCTTGCTACTAGTGGCGATGGCCTTATTGCTGCTGACAATGGCCTCCAACCTACTCATGCTATTAGTAGCGATGCCATTGTTACTACTAGCTTCTTGCTAGTAGTAGCAATGATGCGGCGTGTATGTCCTTCTTGACTGTTTTGGAATCGAACCCTCCGGGCGATCAGCCAACCATCTGGACACAACTTTCTTGACATTTCGTTGACAAATGCTGTCGACTCCCAACGACTCATCAACGCCAGGTTGAAGGCTACTAGGGGCTTTTGACCTTATATACTAGGAGCAAGGACGCTACTAGGGGCTCCTGGCATCGCTACTGGGAGCATTCTTACTACTAGTAGCAAGAAGGCTAGTAGGTTGGAGGCCATTGCTGCTAAGCGGCTTTGTCAAACAAGTTGAACACTTCCTCGCTCGGCTGGTGAATGGTTGCCAATACAGTCTTCTTTACAGCACCATCTCGCGCAAAGCCGTGCAAAAGCTTTGCCACATTTAGCCTCAAAAACTGTGTGGAAGGCTCTCATTAGGAACTGTCAATGACGCCCCAAACTCATGCACATAGCGTACTTCATCTAAACGCATTGTGGAGTGTGCCAGCCAAACGCGAAGTGTGCCGTCAATTGCTTTGGCCGAATGATCCGCAGTCGGAAGAGGACGCTACGAACGGAGCAAAGGGCATCGCTGCTAGGAGCAAAGGATGCTACTAGGGGCTCCTGGCATCGCTACTAGTGACAAGAAGCTATTAGAAACAATACTTAGAATTTAACATCTGATTAGAATTGGAACTGAAAGCTACTAGGGGCTTCTGGCCTTACTACTTGGAGCAATGTTTGCTACTAGAAGACCCCCAAAGCTCCAACCTAAGAGCGATGGCCTCCAACCTCAAAGCCATGGCCTCCAAGTAGCTGAAGATTCTCCAAGTCTCTTCTAAGAAGTCGGTGATTGAAGTTCAGATTGCTCGCAACTAAAGGGTTTTTATTGTTACAATGTCGGCTACAAGTGCGAGCGCTTCCTTGAAGAAGCGGGAACTATCCTGCGTCCATGTTTAGTAGCTTCCTATTCCTAGTAGCTTACTTCACGCTCACTGAATTGAGTCGTAGGGGGAGAGGTCGGCGAAAAAAGACAAATCAATCTTCTTTGTGGCAGGTGCTGAGCTTTGGTAACCATAATCGTGGATGCTTGGCAACTGCACTCTTGTGGTGTTTGTTACTAGTAGCTTCTTGTCCCTTCAGTAGCTTCTTTGTTGCGTTTGGGCTCCCTGGTCTTTTGGCGCTGTCAAGTTGGCTTTTCGCACCAGCTCTTATACGATGTGCAGATTTCATGCGCAGTGATGTGGCCTCTCTTTCACTAGAAGTATTGTGTGACAGCTTCCTAATTCGTACTCTAGAAGTCTTTGGAGGCTATCGCTACTAGGTTGGAGGGCATCGCTCTTAGGTTGCAGGCCTACTAGGGTGGAGGCCATCGCTCTTAGGTTGGAGGCCATTGCTCTTAGGTTGGAGGCCATCGCTAGTAGGTTAGAGGCCATTGCTACTAGGCCATCCCTAGTGGGTTGGAGGCCATCCCTGAGTTTTTTCTTATTTTCTTAGTATCGTGCGAACGCGTCGTAATCTTTGGTGCTTTGGCGAAGCGTCCTGGCAGTTGGGCCGTGAATTGGTGACACTCAACGTTAAGTTCCCCAAACATCTAGGCAAACGTGAACTATCCTGCGTCGAGTTGCAAGTAAAACATCCTGCGTAGTTTGTTGAGGCCTTACTTAAGTGAGTAGCCGCCAACTTAGTTAACTGTTAACTAAGAAGGTGCAAAAAATCAAGAAACGAAGAACACACGTCCAAAAAGGACGTTTACCCCAAAATCTTGATTGAAGTCAAATCATCATTCCGCGATTTGTGAGCCTATGTGCGCTCTGCTTTTATGTGCCTCTCCTAGTCGCTCGTTCCAATCGCCCGCCTAGGCACGCCATGGCGCTGTCAAGGCCACTGGTCGCTTCGTCGGCAAAAAGCAACGTGGGCTCCGTCAAAAGTTCCGTGGCAAAGGCCAAACGCCGGCGCTCGCCACCTGACGAAACAAAATGGAGAAAACATCATAGATGATCAGTGAAAGAGTAAAATAATGCAAAATATTCAAATGCATTACATGAATGCATGGAATTCATGTGTTTACCTGTCTACGGTCTAAAGGTGTAGAAGCAAAAGGTTTAGAGATCTAGACATTGGGCTCCAAAGAGGGGTGATGGTGGTGGTAGTGATGGTAGTTTTGGTGGTGATGGTGATGGTAATGATGGTGGTGGTGGTGATGGCGGCGATGATGGAGGTTCACAAACCAGGTGCAGGCATAAAGTTTGCAGATCTGGTCCAGAGTTCTGGGGGGGACACAGTTGCTGCACCTGCCAGGAAATTTGCACTTCAAGGTCCACAAAGTACTGGCGCCTTGCTATGAAATCTGAGCTTCAAGGTGCACAAAGTATTGCGCCTGCCACGTAATCTGCACCTCAAGATTCGCAACCAAAAGTCACCAGGGATCTAACCTCACCAACAACAAACAAATGATAGGCCGTGCGAGGCCATAGTAGCCATGAACGCGGCCAGGAATTTGCTGCATGAGAACCTGTGGGGGTCTTATGGTTTTACGTCCATGGCAAGCATATCATCTAACACCCTCTACAACAAGCTACCGTAGTATATTGTAGTTACCAGGGGGGCCAACCTCATAAACAGTTATCTGATGTGACACCCCGGCTCATTACTAAAACAATCTACCAAGCTCTTAAACCTGGAAGCTATGTTTATTTCCTGGCCCTTGAGCTCAATAAAATTCCAATTCGTATGGAGAACGTTCTCTCAAGCACACCCCAACTGTATTAGAGTTTTAGCAAGGGCTATGAAAATGAGCGCGGCACCACAACGAGAGCGCAGTGGAAATGCACTTCGATTCGCTCTAGGTAAATTGATGTAATTATTGTATATACCATGCCTTAGATGGGCCCCCCATGTAGATACCCCCTCAGAATAATAATAAAAGAAATATTCTGCATACCCACCACCTAAATTGTGAATACTATTCTATTTTCATTTGACATTTGGAATAGTTTAATGGACGCTTATTAATCCCCCCTTGAAAATTTATATTTATATACAGTAAACGCTATATTTAGCTGAAACCTTGCCTTAGAAAATATTCAGTGAGTCTTCGAGAGGTAACATACATATGGAATAATTTTACACGCCGGCAACAATCCATGACACTCCAATCTGCTTCCAACATATGCAAATCATTGCAAACCTATTGCAAAACTCTCTCTTGAATTCATCCCCCCCCACATCTCTCTACAGTCTCTACATATAAATACTTATTCTGGGGGTCCTTGACCTACATATTACAAAAGTTTTAAACAATATTCAGGGGGTATGCCAGAGGTCGAAGATTCAAGCATATTTCCATGGTCTGTCAGCATGATACCCCACCCCGCCAAAAAATATTCCAGGAAACTTATTCCAGAAAAAATATTCCAATAGATCCAATAGGTTACATGGTACCCTGGAATAATTTTTTAGTGCATGGAATATATTATTGTAAGTAGCAGCGACAGAGCCGCCGGCGGATGCGAGCACCTCTCATCAGACACCCGTCCTTAACTCCTGCCGTAAGAACCACTACTGTGAACACAGTTTGGGGAACAAATCAGGATAAAAACAACTAAAAGAAACAAAACATCACATTTATTACTCTATTATCTCTATTGCATTTTTGTTAATTTTCAACATGTGCAAAGGGATTGAACTCGGTCGTGGGGGGAGAGCTATGTTCGCACAGCTGACTTGCCGAGGTGTTCGCAAGTGTTGTCAACTTTTATGATCACACTATGGCTCTCCTCTAGGGGATAGCTTTTGGAGGTCTTACGCGTCTTGAAAAAATGCCGCGTCAGTTTTGGGTGGAAACGCAAACGGCAGATTCTGTGACACTTTTGTTTTTGCGTCGGGTTGATGAAGCCTTATGTTTAGCGGGTTGGGCGGCCGTTTCAGTTTCTCATGGTACCACTTTGGCATGCTTGCCAATGGCTGGATGGGAACAAAGTACCCAACGGGCAGCGCTTACTGCAGTGTTGGCTGTGCTTGAGTGCATCAGGTGGAATGCACTGTTTGGACTGATTCGGCCTACGTGGCCCAGGGCTTCTGGAGATTGAGCAAGGCACCAAGCCAGGACTGCATGGGAACGGCACAAACACTGGGTTGACCAGCATAGACAGCAGTTGGGCCTGCTTCGGGACCTACATCTTGCAGTCGCTGAACGGTACCAATCTTTGCAGCCCACGTCCGCTGACTTGGTGCCTGATGAGATGGTGGAGTGGCCTACACCAGTACCTTGGGGAGCTTTGGGGCGAATGCGCCTGGGCACTGGAAGGATGAGATCCGACCTTCGCCTTTGTTGTCTCAGTTCAGAGCAATGACCCTCCAGCCGTGGCTGTCTCCTGGCTTATTGTTGTTTTTCTCTTAAAAGAAATAGACATTTCACTGCCTCATCCAGTGGCGTCTTCGAGGCCATCGCTCTTAGGTTTTGGAGGCCATGGCTCTTAGGTTTTGGAGGCCATCGCTCTTAGGTTGGAGGCCATGGCTCTTAGGTTTTGGAGGCCATCGCTCTTAGGTTTTGGAGGCCATGGCTCTTAGGTTTTGGAGGCCATCGCTCTTAGGTTGGAGGCCATGGCTCTTAGGTTGGATGCCAT